ACCTGTTTACGTGAAGGGAGTTTAGGACTTTAGGAGTCTGTGAACTGAAGGTTCACAAAAAAGGTTTTAAAAAGTATCTATTACTTTGACAATTGGCTTTTTAAAAACATTTTTCATCCCCCTTAAGTCAAAATTGCTTAGGTATTTTTTTCTTTCTCTTACTTTAAACAAGTATAATGTCGTGGACCACTAATGTATCCAGTTAGATTATGTTCAGTTTTCATTGTTGCTGCATGTGGAGACAATGTCAGACAGTTTCCCATTGATAAGAATCAATGAAAACCAGGGACGCCTGGGTGGCTCAGTTGGTTAAGCGACTGACTGCCTTCCGCTCAGGTCGTGATCCCGGGGTTCTGGGATCGAGCCCTGCATCCTCCCTGCTCAGCAGGCGGCTTGCTTCTCCCTTTCCCTCTGCCACTCCCACTGCTTGTGCTCTCCTGCTCTCTCTCTGTCAAATAAATAAAATCTTAAAAAAAAAAAAATCAATGAAAACTGGGGGCACCTGGTTGGCTCAGTTGGTTAAACATCTGCCTTCGGCTCAGGTCGTGATCCCAGGGTTCTGGGATCGGACTCCCTGCTCGGCTGGGAGTCTGCTTGCCCCTCTCCTCCCCGCTTATGCTCTCTCTTGCTATCTCTCTCAAATAAATAAAATATATATATAAAAAGAATCAATGAAAATTTACCATGCTATCTGTATTGATACAGAGGCTACATAAAAATTAAAAAGACAAGGAAAGAAAAAAAGAGAAAAGAAAAAGAAAGTAAGACAAAACTCCTGTGTCCTTTGATCTTATTCTGAAGACTGAATATGCAGAGATACAAAGTCTTGCTTTTTCTCTGGCAAGATTCTTGCTAATGGAAGCCTGAAGCCAACACAGCTGAAGAAGCCTCTATGTCTGCCCAGCCAGAAAACATACTGGATAGTGTGAATTCTTTTAACAAGAAGGTGGCTTACTTTGAAAAGGCTTGAACCTTACCAAAATTTGGATTTGCCCCAGCACCAAAAAGCCTTATCTTATAAAATCTCGCAAGTGAAAGTAGTGATATGATTGGAGAGGCCTTAGTGAAGCTCTCTGAACTCCTGACGGTTTGTGACCAGGAGCCAAACCATGAAGGCTTCTTTCAGATGACATTCTTCTAGAACGGTTGATGCTTTTTCCTTGTTTTCTCTCAAATCAAGGTTTTAAAGGAATTGGCAGTTAGCCATTTTCTTTGAGCATGTAACCAAATGAAATTCTGATGTTTCCTTAGTAAAGATAGTTGCTCTTTTGTGTCCTTTAAGAGCATGCTGAAGCCATCAAGATTCTTGTTGTGTGAACCCATTTTGGACACTGGAAAGACCATTGAGAGATAAAACAGTGAAAAGTGGCTTGCCATCAAAACTGATGGCATACCTGGTGATACATCTGGTTTTGCTGTTTTGATGAAGAAGGAAGCTCCATAGGTCTCTATGAATCATTGCTTTTACATTAGCATCAAAGACTCTGCCAAAGATCATGAAAGAAGTCTTGTCCGATGTCTTGAAAGTCACACTTTATCCCAGTCAGGGCCTTGAATTACTGCCTTGTCTAGAGCTTCTCTTGCGAGATGGGAGTGGAATATAAGGTTGTTTTCTATTGCAGAGAAGTTCATTGATTCTCCAAAGAATAAGTCTCAAACCACTGGGGAATTCTGATTCCATTTGCTGTTACATAACTTTGTGAATCAGAGTTTCCAGAACACTTGTAGCAATCTATTGGATTGTTAAAACCGCTGGCATGTTAAAAACCATTCTGCTTATTATTTTAGCTCTTTATTCAAGAGAAACGCTAGCATTCTTCTAATTGAAATTTATTTTTGTGGAATTAATTTTAATTTTTTCTGTTAAATTTAATATCCTTTCCTTTCTAATCTAAGCATCCTTTTTAAGTTTGGAGAGTTTACTCTACATTAATGTGTTTATTCACGTATTTTGCTTTATTTCTAATTTTTGTGTTTTCTATGTCTCATGCTTTGATTTTTTTTCCCCCCTTCTTTTCTGGCTCCTAAAGTATTGGTTGAGTTTCCTTTATTTCCCTTTTTTCTAAACTTCTGGTTTGAAAATCACATTTTTTTCTAATTTAGCAATTATTCTAATATTTTTACATGCATATTTGACTTAAATTCTCAAATTTACCCCATTTCCTCCAAGTGGTAGGACTTCAAATCTCTTTAACTCAGCTCTCTCCCTCCTGTTACTTCTATTATTTTTGTTCTACCTTGGTTTTACTTAATCTCCCCTCTCCCCACCCCCAACTTTGTATATTTTAGGTTTCTTTATAGTCAGGACTTATTTAGATTTACTTATTATTATTATTATATTATTCCTTTTTGCATACACTCCTTATTGGGGTATATTTTTAGTGGTTCTTTCAGCAAGGACTTGTTTAACCAGTGTTTTTAGTCTGGCTGAAAATGTCTGTCTTGCCCTCACTTTTGAAATATCATTTAGGTAGATAGAGAATTAAATATCAGTTTTTTTCAGCACTTTGAGGATTTCTCCATGGTCCCCTGGCCTTGATTCCTGCTGATGTCATGTCTGTGTCAGCGTAATGGTCTCACCTTTCTGGGTAATTCATTTTCTCTCTGATTTTAAGGTTTTCCCTTTGCCTTTGACGTGTTCTGCATACTGCACAACGCAAGGACCAGGATATACAGCAAACTTCTTTACTGCTTCTCCAGCCAGAGGGTAGAGTTTGTGGTCCTTTTTTCACTGATTTCTCACTGTAGCACCTCCTGGGCTCAGGGTTCTGTGGAGGGGCTTGTCCCAGTACCCCAGTCTTAAATACTGAAGATGTCGTCTTCCATTTTCCAGTGGGGATTTAGAATCTCAGCTCCTAGGGCCTGTATCCAGGTCGCAAATCTCCGTGGGCTTTATATATCAGCTTATTCTTTTGGCTCTGATTCGATTTTTCTCTTTGTTCCTGGCATCTGGGAATCTTCTTTTTTGTCTTTTTGGATTCTCCATTTAACATGTGTTTAACAGTAGGAAACAAAAAAATGAAAGTCTTGAAAACAGGAGATTTATTTTTCTACTTCAGGAGATTTCCAGAGTGCTATTCTTTTTTTTTTTTTTTTTTAAGATTTTATTTATTTATTTGACAGAGACACAGCAAGAGAGGGAACACAAGCGGTGGGGAGTGGGAGAGGGAGAAGCAGGCTTCCTGCTGAGCAGGGAGCCCGATGCGGGTCTCGATCCCAGGACCCTGGGACCATGACCTGAGCCGAAGGCAGACGCTTAACCGACTGAGCCACCCAGGCGCACCTCCAGAGTGCTATTCTTTTTTTTTTTTTTTTTAAGATTTTATTTATTTATTTTGACAGATAGAGACACAGCGAGAGAGGGAACACAAGCAGGGGGAGTGGGAGAGGGAGAAGCAGGCTTCCCACTGAGCAGGGAGCCCGATGCGGGGCTTGATCCCAGGACCCCGGGATCATGACCTGAGCCGAAGGCAGACGCTTAACGACTGAGCCACCCAGGCGCCCCCAGAGTGCTATTCTTAATGTTAGCTGAAGTGTTTAATAATGTCCAGAGCTCTGAGTTCTTATTGACTGATTGACTGATTGCTTTATTTGACCAAGAGATTAAAAGTGACATTTTGTTATATACACAGCCCTTGTGGACGATACCCTTGAGCTCCTGTTTCCTGTTTAACTTGAGTCTATCAAAACCTGCAACCACCCTAGGCATGACTAACAATCTTGGATGATTTTTTTAATACTTCTTTAAATGAATCTTTCTATAGAAAGACTCTTTGCCATAATCTAAGGTAGTGGTTTTCAGAGTATGGTTCCTAAATCCTCAGTACCAGCATTATGTGGGATTATATAGTATACATTGTTCCCTTGTCATTCATTAGATATTCTTCTTTGTCATGCTTTTTTTTAAAAAAAGATTTTATTTATTTATTAGAGAGAGAGACAGAGGATAGCAAGAGAGAGCACAAGCAGGGAGGAAAGGGAGGAGCAGGCTCCCCGCTGAGGGCTCGATCCCAGGACACTGGGATCATGACCTGAGCCAAAGGCAGACACTCAACTGAGTGAGCCACCCAGGTGCTCCTGTCATGCTTTTTAAATTAAAGTTTGATAAAATATTTGGATTGGCACTTTGTTTTTGTTTTTTTAAAGATTTTATTTATTTATTTGACAGAGAGAGAGAGAGCCAGAGCAGGAACACAACAAGCAGGGGGAGTGGGAGAGGGAGAATCAGGCTTCCTGCCAGCAGGGAGCCCGATGCGGGGCTCGATCCCAGGACCCTGGGATCATGACCTGAGCTGAAGGCAGACGCTTAACACCTGAGCCACCCAGGCGCTCTGGCACTTTGTTCTTAATTTTATTTATTTAGTTAATCTCTATACCCAACGTGGGGTTCAAACTCATGACCCCAAGATCAAGAGTTGCATGTTCTTCTGATTGAGCCAGCCAGGTGCCCCGAAGTTTGAAAAAATGGTTGAACTAATAGGTGGTCCAGTGATGGGTACTTTTTATAAATAGATAAAGTATGAATTTTATGGCTTGATTTTTTTTTTATACAGAGAGTACTTATTAATTCTATGGTATAAATCATGTTAAATACTCTGATAAAAATGATACATATGTTGCTATATCTATGATTTCCTTATACTTGAGCATTCTTTATTTAAAAAAAAGTTCTTAAAAGTTGAGTGTTAGATGTGGAATGAAGGAAATGTTTTATATCTGTAAATTAATTGCCTTATCTTTTTTTCATAATCTGCCCACCCCAAAGCTCAGAAAAGTCACAGTATTATTTATGCAACTCCTTTTAATGGTCCCCATGGATTTAAAACACAATTGGCATTGTTACACTTCCTTCCATAGAGAAAATGTATGCTTTTTAAATAAATGTAATATGCTTTTGTTCATGAAGAATGTCATTGAGTAGTGCCAACTATTTTAGGATACTAAAATAAAAATATTTACAATCCAAAAATACTTTAAGATTATTCTTAGAAAGATGTTCCATTGTTTTTAGTCTATTACTTAATCTTATAAAAGTGCTATGAAAAGGGAGAAGATGGCCGTCCCAGCAGTGTCTGGGCTGTCCCGGCAGCTCAGCCAGTAAGGGGTAGGTAGAGCTGAGATTCGAACCCACACAGGCACATAGAAGATGGAGTTGGAAGGAAAATTCGTGCTCTTTATACTACGTATCAACACTATGCTTTGCATGTCATGACACCTTGCAACTTAGGTGCGATGCTTTAGTATGACTGTTGTCAGGCCGTTTTCCAAGTTCATGCGGCTGCCTGTTCAGGTATATGGTATCGAAAGTCGCTATGCCACTGCTCTTTATTCTGCTGCATCTAAACAGAATAAACTGGAACAAGTAGAGAAAGAATTGTTGAGAGTAGCACAAATCCTGAAGGAACCCAAAATGGCTGCTTCTATTATGAATCCCTATATAAAGCGTTCCGTGAAAGTGAAAAGCTTAAATGACATGAGCGCAAAAGAGAGGTCCTTTCCTCTCACATTCAACCTGATCAACTTGCTTGTTGAGAATGGTCGCTTGGACAATACCCCTGGAGTCATTTCTGCCTTTTCGACCATGATGAGCATCCACTGTGGAGAAGTACCGTGCACAGTGATCACTGCATCTCCTTTAGATGAAGCCACTCTTACTGAATTAAAAACGGTCCTGAAGAGCTTCCTAAGTAAAGGCCAAGTCTTGAAATTGGAAGTTAAGACTGACCCCTCAATCATGGGTGGAATGATTGTCTGTATTGGAGAGAGATACACTGATATGTCTGCGAAAACCAAGATTCAGAAGCTCAGCAGGGCCATGCGGGAAGTTTTCTGAAAGTGTTGATTTTCTGTCAGTGAAAATTCCTAAACTTGGAGCAACAATAAAATGCTTCCTGAACAGAAAAAGAAAAAAAAAAGTGCTATGAAAAGCAAACTACATGACATTTCAGAGTTCAGAGATTTGATTAGATCATTTAAATAAAGTTTTTGCCAAGGAACTGAACACATGAAATGAATGGTAGCATCATTGTGAAGATTTTCAATACTCATGAGACTTATAATTAATTAAGTACTTTATTTTTTTTTTTAAGTACTTTATTTGAGAGAGAGAGAGCACAAGCAGATGGGAGGGGCAGAGGGAGAGGGAGAAGCAGACTCCCCACTGAACAGGGAGCCCGATGCAGGGCTCAATCCCAGGACCCTGGGATCATGACCTGAGCCGAAGGCAGACGCTTAACGACTGAGCCACCCAGGCGCCCCTAGACATGAAGAATTAAAGAAAAGATAGTTGTTTAATAGATTTAAAAATGAATATTCACCAAAAAAGACGATCTAATTTAAAAATGGACAAAGGACTTGAATAGACATTTCTCCCAGGGAGGTATTCAGATAGCCAATAAGCACATGAATAGATTTTCAACATCATTAGTTATTAAGGAACTTAAAACCCACAGTGAGATACCACTTCTCATCCACTGGAATGGCAATAATAATAATAATAAAAGGAAAATATGAACTGTTGATGATGATGTGGAGAATTTGAATCCTCATACATTGCTGGTGGAAATGTAAAATAAGGTAGATGCTGTGAAAGATATTTTTGTGGTTCTTCAATAAGTTAGACATAGAACTGCCATCTGACCCAGCAACTCTGCTCCTAGGTAAATACCCAAGAGAACTGAAAACAGGTGCACAAATGTTTATAGTAGCACTATTCGTAATAGCCAAAAAAGGGGAACAACCCAGATGTCTATCAGCTGATAAGTGGATAACCAAATGTGGTATATCCATACAATAGAATATTATTCAGCCATAAGAAGGAGTGAAGTACTGATACTTGCTACGATATGGATGAACCTTAATAATATTAAGTGAAAGAAGCCAGATACACAAAGCCACATATTGTATGATTTCATTTATTTGAAATGATCAGAATAGGTGAATCTGTGGAGACAGCAGATTAATGGTTGCCAGGGGCTGGGATGAGCAAGGAATGAGGAGTAGTTGTTCAATGGGTATGGGGTTTCTTTTTGGGATGATGAAAATTTTCCGGAATTAGATAGTGGTGCTGGTTGTGCAACATTATGAATGTCCTGGAAGTCACTGAACTTCCAGTACATTTAAATAAACTTTAAAATGGTAAAGTTTATATTATAGGAATTTTAGCTCAGTAAAAAAGAATATTCAGTGTGATTATAATTCTCAGTGAAATATTAAGGTAAGAATTTTAAAATCAAAGGAAACTTTATTTCAACATTGTTATTTTGTGCTTAGAAAAATTACACAACATGTTTCGTGAAAATATGTATGAAGTCAAATAAATATTCTTTAGAGCAGGTTTCAATACAAGGTATGTGTGTTTTGGGCCTCATTCAGAGGGATTTTGCTGGGTAGAATAAAGCACTAGGAGGCAGTCTCATGCTGGGTACTGTGATTGGTACATTGCCTTTTTTTTTTTTTTAATTTTTTAAAATTTTTGTTTATTTGACAGAGAGACCGCGAAAGAGGGAACACAAGCAGGGGGAGTGGGAAAGAGAGAAGCAGGCTTTCCACTGAGCAGGGAGCCGGACTCAGGCCTCAATCCCAGGACCCTGGGATCATGACCTAAGCTGAAGGCAGACACTTAACAACTGAGCCACCCATGTGCCCCTAGTACGTTGCTTTTTAACTGGCTGGCCCTCTTTGTAGTCATGAGCAGTGTCTCTCAACTGTTTACACTTTCCTTGCCATCTTCTAGATCTGCTTGACTGCTTACTGTTGTGAGCTTCATGCATGCCTTTCTGACATGAAACTATATACTGCTCAATTAGCATTAATAGGGTCCCTATCGTTAACTAACCTACTCCTTCACTGACACTGTTTCCAGCCACTTTGGATAAACACCTGGTTTATCTTGCTTCCCCACGGTCCTGTTCAGTTATCTAGATCCTTTTATGTTTCAGCATTCTCACTTCTTCGACCTTGCCAAGGACCTGGACAGCAAGGACCCCAAGGACAGGAATAGGGGGAGGGGTGAATGAGAGCTAATGAAACAAAGGCCCTGTCTTCTTTGTGAAATCTGTTAGAAGAGGAACCTGTCCATAGATGTGAGCAGTATGGTTCCATATCGACCTGCTATTTCCAGAAATCAAACATTATTTAATGTTTGTTGTACAGCTTATCTAGTAAATTTGTGTTTTTATTCAATGTAGAACATATAGGCTGTCTTGAGAGTAGTTATTTCTTTCCCAAAATACGTTCCACAGAATACTAGTCCCTGGTATTATTACTAGAAGCTCTGCTTTGGAAGGGGGAGGATCCCATGGTCAAATATATTTAGAAAATGCTGCTTAATCCCCTCTTGGAAGTCCATAGCACACTGTAGTCTTTAAGGTCTCTGAAACATAGTCAAGAAACTTGTTTGACTCAGCATTTCCAAACTTACTTGAGCCCAGAACTTTTGGTGGGGAGGAAAGAGACAGCATAGCTATTAATATCTTACATAATAATATCAGTTGGGAAGACATTGTCTTAGAGCATTGTAAATTTCTACAACTGCAGCTTAAAAAAAAAGTAGCTGCATTTATTTACTTATTTATTTAAATTCCAGTTAGTTAACATATACTGTTATATTATTTAGTTTTTTTAGTTTTTTTTAAAGATTTTATTTATTATTTATTTATTTATTTATTTTTAAAGATTTTATTTATTTATTTGAGAGAGAGAGAATGAGAGACAGAGAGCACGAGAGGGAAGAGGGCAGAGGGAGAAGCAGACCCCTTGCTGAGCAGGGAGCCTGATGCGGGACTCGATCCCGGGACTCCAGGATCATGACCTGAGCCGAAGGCAGTCGGTTAACCAATTGAGCCACCCAGGCGCCCAAGATTTTATTTTTTTGACAGAGAGAAAGACAGCCAGAGAGGGAACACAAGCAGGGTGAGTGGGAGAGGGAGAAGCAGGCTTCCCGCTGAGCAGGGAGCCCGATGGGGGCTCGATCCCAGGACCCTGGGACCATGACCTGAGCCGAAGGCAGACGCTTAACGACTGAGCCACCCAGGCGCCCCTTTTTTTAGTTTTTATTTTAATTCCAAAAAGTAGCTACTTTTACCGGCTAGTACCAAAAAATACCTGTCCTTCATATGTTCTATGTAATATACATCATATGTATATAGTTAACCTATAAATTCTCTATCAAGATAGACCTCATTTTTTCCCCTTTCCTTACAAGTGTCAGATTGTTGTCTTTCAGTGATTTTCTTGTTCTTTCTTCCTTAATCATATCAAAATATTTTTTTGAAAGGGTGACTAAAGCACTTAGGACATTCACAGTTTTAAATAAGTAAACGGCTCTGTTAAAGCTGTAGTACATATATTTGTTGAGCCTGTTATAAAATTTCAGACTTGTCTAATTCAAACACCCTTTGAAATCCAAGTCACGTTTTCATTTACTAAGGATTTTTCTTGAGACAGGCCCTTTCTTAAAAAAAGTAATTAGCCTTGGATGTAGAAGGTGTAATTAATAAATAAGCACAATTCATTACTTTGTTAATTCTTCTCTACAGAAAAGAGCTGGCACTCAGTGTTTATCCTTTATTAACATATAAATATGTAGGCACTGAAATTATGTATCACAGTACATTCCTATGAAATACATAGTCGGTATCATTTTTTCTCTTTCAGTTGTAATTAGTGTAGGATTTTAGCTTTAAAAAGTTTTAGCCTTTTCATGTACTTGAATTTCTTTTCTCTATAATATGGCTCTCATTACATTGTCTTTCTTGTTTTTGAGAACTTTATAGTTTATAATGGATATCACTAATATTCATCAATAATCTGTGAGGCTCTCTTATTATAGACGGGATAAGATTAGATTGTTGTGGCTTGCCCCTTTTTTTGTTGTTTCTTTAGGCACAGTGCTTGAATCTAATGGGGAAATAAAGCCTCCGGCGTTGTGGCTTGGATTCCTCTTGTGTTTTTAGGGGTGTATTATATTTCCATTTAGATCTCCTGCTCTGTCTTCTGACTGATGATGACCCAGGTTTCTGTTCAGAGTTGTTTCTGGGTGGTTGGCTCCTGGTCCCGTACAACTCAGCCATGTCGGGCAGTGATAGAACATGGTCTTTCAGAGATTCGCCCAGATTTACCAAGAAGTAAAAATGACTCGCAGGTGCGTTCCTGATGAACCAGAACAGATCTTCTCTCACAAGACCGTCTTGGCATTTCGACAAAGCATGAAGTGAAAGCTTTTTGTTTTTGTTCGAGTTGGCTTTAAGACTAATTTTAATTTTGTTTGCTTAGAAATTAATGTTTTTCTCTTGTATTTGCTTTTTCTAGTCACAGGCAGCCTTTCTTCTCAAATGGTGTCATGTACTTTGCATTGTTAGATGTGATCTACCGGCTCTTATGGCATAATATTTTCAATTCTGTACATATTCTGTTGTCTGAATTAGAGGGAGTTTGAGAAATGAAATTAGAACTGCTACTGTAATTTTTTTTTTTTTTTTTTTGTGATGATGAATTCCTAAAGTCAAAATCCTATTTGTCTGTTTGGAAAAATAGTAACCCATAATGATATATAGATATATATCCCTAGCAAACAGATGATTTGTCCACTGGAAGTTTTATCTTTAATACTGTTTTTGGTCAGATTCTACTCTCCTATATATATTTTGATGGTATGTAAAAATTTAGAGAATAATATAGCTTCTTAAAAAAGGCTTTCTATGGGGTGTCTGGGTGCCTTAGTCGGTTAAACATCTGCCTTCTGCTCGGGTCATCATCCTGGGGTTCTGGGATTGAGCCCCAGTGGCTGGCTTCCTGGTCAGTGGGGAGTCTGCTTCCCCTGACCCCCCACTCATGCTCTCTCTCCCTCTCAAATAAATAAATAAAAATAAACTCTTTAAAAAAGACTTTCTAGCATGATTGTG